CTACTACTACTACTACTACTACTACTACTACTACTACTACTACTACTACTACTGTGGCAGTAATGAGACCATGGCCTTGTTAAATGACAAACACGAATAGAAAATTGGTAAAAGTCTATTTGGGAACGCATTTCTTAAAATAAGTTCATCACATTTTTGGCGCATGGCCTCAAGTGACCCACATGTAGCTCCACGGACATCGGATGTGCATCATTATAGGTCCGATAAGTTTAAAACGAAAGAGCTGACTCAAGTAGGCTTTTTTTCTCCAGAAGTAACACTGTTTCATTTTTTTAGGAATCACGGGAAATGTCAAGGTCGATGCCAACGGAGATCGCGAGCCAGACTATTGGATGTGGGATATGGCACCAGGGACAGATAACTTCTCTGTCATTCTAGAGGCCAGGATGACCGCTATTTCAAAACAGGTATTAATCTAGCCGATAAATAATAATTCATAATTTGTATGGCCTTTCTAGCCGACATGCGTTTTTAGAGTTCTTCTTTTCCTTTTTTTTCTCTCCACTTTCTCTTTTTTTTCTTTGAGTGTTCTATTCAGCTTGAAGGATAAACAGCTCATGTGAAGAGAATCACGAAGCACGAGTAATTTGAATGTATGGATAAAATAATTATGATCGTAATAAATAGCATTTATTCCGCGCATTTCCATTTTCTGAAGAAAAAAACTTCACAAAGATGATTTGTCTTGATATGACGCAAGCGTAAATTAAAGACAACTTTTCCAGAATTTTGGCTAAGAATATAAAATTTGAAACTGGTCGTAAAATGTTCTAAATATCATTTTCTTCTCTTAATCATTGCGAAAATATAATTATTTGAATATTGTTTGTTGGGGGTTTTTTGTGTTTTTTTTTATTTGTTTTTTTTTGGGGGGGGGTTATTAATAAACTGTGTAATTATTGCTTAGAAATCTTATATTACCTACCGATGCAGAATATTTGCTGACATGCTAATTGTCTTTATTTTCTTATCTCTTGGGCCAATTTTGTAGTTAAACCATGTTATAAGAAATATTTGAGATTTTAAAGGGTACGTCCCCTGTCCTACCGGATCCCATTGAATATTTTAAAACATGATTTTATGTGAGTACCTTTGCGGAGCGTTAAAGAGTATCTGCATGACACAAAAATGTGGGTTTTTTCCCTAAATTAATAACGGAGTAAGGTCGAAGATATACCTATACAGACAGTATGCTGAGATCTGTAAATAATCTTTGTTAATACATTTTCCCGTTTTGTTTTGTTTTTCAATAGAAAATATTCATCCTGGGAGACATTGTTTGGCAGACTGCGGATGGATCGGTACCTTTGGACGTTCCGGTGTGTGGCTTTTTCTCAGAACTTTGCCCAGTCGACCTGACAGGTGACGTACCCGATTTATGATATTTTTTAGTTTCTATGTTACCCCATTTCTGTTGAGTGTTATAAATGAACTTTGAGATCGCGCTCCCGAGTTTACAAGGAGAACCTTTTTAGATTCTCGATCTTAAGTATATTTTAAAATAAATTTAGAGTTAGAGACAGAGATTTGAACATGAATTGCATTGCGCAAACTTTAGTTACGCAGTCTCTATTCTGCTATGGGTTTCTAAGATGTGTTGTCTGATTTCTATATCTTAATCAGGTAAGTAACATAACTGCAGCTTGCTTAATTTGATAAACAGATTAATAAGTCTTATATCTTTTTCGTAATTTGATTGTATTGATTAAGTGTTGCCTCTCTTGTTCCATATGAATGCCAGGTGAACAATTGCATATTACACATTAATTCGAATGAGCTCCGAAATACATACAATTTTCTTTTTTTTCGAAATATGCATACTCCCTGCTTTATACAACGGCGAAGAAAATATTTTAGACATTGTATAACGTTGTAGTCATTATTGAACTGACACCCACCATTTGTGTCAGAGATAGTTCAACACAGACGGAATAATCTCCACACTACAAAGCCTGACTTGCTATAATACTATTAATATTATTGTATTTTTCGGAACCACGGCTCTTCCGTTGCGAGATGTGTTATTTCTAAGACAAAGGTGAGCCAACGTGTTGCGGACGCTGGGAGGGGGGGGGGAGGGAATCAAATAAAAGAGGGGTTGGGGATGAGGGAAATACTAGACAGTAGGACTTTACTTTATCCATCTACCTATTGGGCCTCGCTTGATAAAAACCTCTTTTGGGGCTCTCGTGGCGTAGACGTTAAGGTGTTCGCCTTTCATTCAATAGATCCAGGTTTCGAATTTGGATAGCGATGGACAATTTTCTTCTCTTAAATTTTCTCCTTTCACATCTTTTCCTAATCCTTAACTCTTAACAATGTTCTGTTGTCTGCTTTCGTCTCCACTCTTTGCCCCCGTCCCCTCACCACCTTTGCACCCTCCTCTTGGCTCCTGACTCTTTCTGCAACCTTTCTACTGTTTCTCCTTGGCTCCTTCTTACTGCTGTCTTTCAGACATACCCCTGATCTTATGATAGGTAGGATCTACACCTAGCCTTCTCGGACAAAGTCGAGAAATCTCGGAGGTCCCGAGTGCAAGTTGCTCACGTTAAAGATCCTTTTGTTGTCCAAAATCAATAAGTGTAGGCTTCAGCCGCTACGCGTGCAAAAATTCAAAATTTCCTGCTAACTGAAAATGGTTGGTGTGTCCCGCGCGCTCATTTGACTCTATGCAGTTGCGAGCGCCGTAAAACACTTACCCAAAAAAAAGAAAAAAACAGACAAACAACAAAAACAACGAAAAAACCTTCATTTCAGTCCCCACTCTTTAAAGCGTCTTTAACTTTAACGCATGATGTCACGGCGACCCAAATGCGACCAGTTTCAGAGTAGACACAATGGATGAGCGTATTATGTGAAACAAGCTCTGTGTGAGGGGGGGGGGTAGGTTTACTTTTTAATCCCTTGCTCCAGGATCAAGGCTTTGATTTTAACTTGTGGCACAACAGTATCTCAAGGGAAGCGTGATATCATCAGAACCTAAGACGGAAACGCCTGTTAGACAGTCCATGCGCACTGATCAAACTGGTCTCCCCCCCCGACCCCAACCAGTTCGTGTCGTGATGTTTTGTTGTTGACAGTCTCCAGTGTATAGAAGGACCCTGCAGTTAAGAAAGCAATCAAAATGCAAGAGCCCATGAGACAGAAACATTTCTAAACGAATGATTTAGCAACACAAGAGCCAAAGTAAGAGAGTGAGTGACTGTGATGATGGGAGTGAATGAGATAATGAGAGAGGAAATTGTTATGTAAATTATTGATAATATGTATAATAGATAGATAGATAGATAGATAGGTAGATAGATAGAGATAGAGATAGAGAGGGAGATAGATAGATAGATATGTATATATATTTGTGTATATATATATATATATATATATATATATATATATACAGAGAGAGAGAGAGAGAGAGAGAGAGAGAGAGAGAGAGAGAGAGAGAGAGAGAGAGAGAGAGAGAGAGAGAGAGAGAGAAACCGTGTGTATGGACTTTTTAAAACTTGGGCCATTCTCTGATTCCAACCACATAGTGCAAATTGGTCAGGTGTGTATCCAAAGGTGCTACAGATCATGTCCTCTTCCCACCCTTTTTATTTCTTTTCTTGCTCATGTTCTTTCCCCTTTTCCTCGACTCAGAAACCATGCCGTACATGGGGAAAGAACATGAGCAAGAGAAGAAATAAAAAGGGCGGGAAGAGGACATAAATCTTTGAGTTATTTTTACTGTTAATCATATTCAAATATTGTGTACGGCATGGTTTCTGAGTCGAGGAAAAGGGGAAAGAACATGAGCAAGAGAAGAAATAAAAAGAGCGGGAAGAGGACATAAATCTTTGAGTTATTTCTACTGTTAATCATATTCAAATATTGTGTACGGCATGGTTTCTGAGTCTATTGACGTGATGCAATTAAGTCCACCCAAAGTCGACTGCTGTAGCACCTTTGGATACACACCTGACCAATTTGCACTATATGGTTGGAATCAGAGAAAGACCCAAGTTTAAAAAAGTCCGTCTAAAATTTACATCCAGCGTGGTAGAGGGTAACCGCAAATGACATATGTCTATATTTCTTTTTTACTTTCCATAATTATAACCTGACATTATCTATAATGTACAGTTATATAGAATAACTGCGAGGACACATAGTGTGGAAATCTCACATCATTATTTAATATGGTAATTTAATGTAAAGCTCTTTTATAGCACTGACCTCGAATTTAAAACAAATGAGCCTTTAATCATTTTCTGGGAGAAGCCAAATATCAACGACTGAAAGAAATTTCAGGTGTTTAAAAGACTTAATCGAGGCCCTTTCTAACACGTCAAAGAGACAGCTGACTAGTCAAGTTGGGGACACTGAAGTGCGTGTCTGTTCGAAGAATTTTGTAATGATCTCAATCTGCATCCATATCGTATAGCAATAAACCAAACGTTGATTTATAAAGACATCGGATCACATGTCGACTTGCGCCAGCGGTTCGTTCAGTAGTTTGGAAGAGACCCAGACTGGGTGAACAAAATAATGGTTCTTGCATGAATGGCATTTTCATTTAGGCGGGCATGCCAATTCTAAGAACACGGTATTCTCGACCAATCTCTGGAGTAAGAGCCATCTTCACTCGGAGACGTGCACAACCTAGCACTCAGCATGCACGCTATTATTGGTCCTCTTTGGTTTTAGGAGTACGCAAGACTGCTAGTGTGAAAAATTAGATGTACATAAGGACGACGCAGCTAAAAGAAGAAGCATGGTTTCAGTAGGATGGAGAACACCGCATGAACTGTCTGTGTTCGCTGACTTGGCTTCACGATATTTTCCAGGACCGAGCTTTCAGATGTAAAATTATTTGCAAATAATCACCTCACAACCTAAACGTGAATCCATCGGATTTCTTTTTATGGTGGTCCCAAAATGACAGGGTATACAAGCAACACTCTCAAACAATTGGCGAGCTGAAAGAACACTGCACATAAATTACATGTAGTTGCATCGACAACCACCTATTTGTGCGCGCCAGTGATCCACAGCTTTCAAAAACGAGCGCATGACTGTTTACGGTTGAAAGGAAATAATGTTGAGAGATTCGTTTAAATTTATCAGCCTTAAATTGAATTTCAAATCAAACTATCATGTTTATGTTATAAGTCTAATTTAAAAACGGTGCAAAAGTATCAAGACATTTTATTGAACAGGCGATACAAAACTGTGATTTAAATACGTTAGCATTTCGAGAGTTATTTATTGAACTTAAGTGTGAGGGCAGACATGTTTTGATGTCATCCAGCATTTTGTCATGGAAAAAAGTTTGCAGCCTTTCATACATTACGTGTATAGTGTCTAGCATTTTGTGCTTGG